AGGTTCTAAGCAAGACCAATTAACAGTTGAAATAAAGAACATGTTAACTTAACAAACTTGTATGAATTGATTTAAACCAAGATGTTATATTATATAATCTGTAAAAGTGCAAAACATAAACAAACCCGGGATAGTAGATGTTTGCCTATTGCAGATTGCATGTGAAATATGGTTAACTCAAAGCAAGAATGTTAACTAAGAATATAGACAAATGGTCTTCTCACCCACTTTGTCACAGGGTAATGCGTGGAGAGTTTGGGTGCGTTTGGTAATTGTAGGGTTACACGGTCTTATTGCAAATGGATTTACAGATGCTATTGGCTGATAGTTTTAATTATAAATTCTAATATATAAATGGTTACGGGGCTTAAATGGCTTTTAGGAAGTTTGGAAATACCCCCAGCATGTTATGTAAAGTGTGGCTCATTAGCAGCAGGGTATAAAAGGCTGCCAATTACCCAATTAGCGCTGTTTATATTTGCTGCTGATATAGGTCACTAGTGTTGCACAGAGCTGTTAAGGTTTGAAAATTAAAACTTTCATAAATGAAAATAATAAGACTTGGGTTGTTCTAAATCCTGTCTCTGCCTGCAATAATTGTAGCCTGGCTGCTCGATGGTCATTCATCACACTAATATTTGTGGCATGCAATTTACTGCAAATTGTGCTAAATCTAATATGGGAAAAAGCACGTCTTATGCCTGTTGTGAAGCCCGTATTGGTTGCTTCTAGCAGTCAGGGGCAAATGCTATCAGAATGAGTGTGCAATTGCCATTTTGGATGGATGATTCGGAGCTCTTAGTGCAATACCAAAAATTTTGTCTGTTACCTTAAACCCTTCACTCATCCCCCTTTTCTCAGTGGTTCACACTCAGCAAGTCACATTTCCCTCTAGAATCTGTAACAAAGCAGTCACAAACTTACCATAAACTTACCATAAACTTCCACATGTGGATGGGAACCATACACCTATTAAGTAAATTCTAAATGAAGTCCACCAGATGACTGTAGATTTGAGGCACTTCTGCATTGGCTTCTGGAACCTATACATTTTCTATATATTGCAATGAAGAAATTATATGAATGTTTTTCTTTTGTTAAATAGATGTTACACATTCACAACTATTTTATGAATGGATTTATGGATAGCCACACAACAGCCATCCCAGGTAGAGAGAGTAGCATTACAGGAGCGGGCTTTATGTATTTTCTCAAAGATAAACCACATTATTAATCCATTTCCTTTTCTGTACATCTAAATTTCATTTCATTTCTTGCATGGCGTACTTAATGTGTGTGGACTATCACAACCATTACTTCTAGTGAGTTTACACAGTAGGACCAAAATGTATCACAGACTGGGAGATCAGGAGGTAGAGTTATTGTCTCAGGATTTTTCTTGACATTCTTTGAATCAGGAATGTTTCATAAAATTTTTCTTAAAGATAAAAAAGTAAAATAAAAAGGTTCTTGGACACAAACTTTCTCATGCTTCTATCAAGGACTACCAGGCAAGCTTTAAGAAACTTCTTCTAGCAGTATTTTTCAACCCAGAGTAAAGACTGTGAAATGGATCTGGTGGTTATTGAAAACCAAAATGTTTGCCAGGATGCTGGAATTTCACTTTACTCTTTTCTTTCTAAGTTCTTAAAGCTATAATTTATGGTCTTAGAATACTTGGTGAAGATTTTATTGCATCTTTATCATTTAAAGTTTCTTTTTCATTCCCACCCTTTTTCCTTTTCCTTCCTTGACAAAATGACCAAAGCAGTGTATGCCATAATAATGCAGTTAAATTAAGTCTCTGTGGCTCGCTTTTAATTTGGTTTAATTAGCCATTATATGAAGTGCCTCATACCTTGTGTGTTTTAACCCTTGTCCAAATGAACCGCCTGTGCTCTCTGTGTCTTTGCTCTCTGCTTTGTCTGTTCCTTGTGTGTTGAGTCTTGTTGTCTTGTTATAGTGTGAAGTGTTAAAAAGCCTCCACAAATGTGATCCACTTTGCTTTGCCACGCACACGGCTCATTTTAGTCGCATTAGCAAGACTGGAACCTGACCAAGAAGTGATGACGGAGGAACAGAGGAAAAGACGGGGAAAGAGACAGATGGGTAACGAACTGTTTAATGGGCTTAAGTGATGAGCAGCATTCATCACTCCAGGTCCTGCATGCAGAGAGACACTTAGAGGTACAACAACTTAGGGGATAGGAGGTAGATTTCAGACTGACTCACACTGAAATATGCACCATAGAGAGAAAAATGCGGTTTATTCATATCTTTGATAAAAGAATAAAGAACAGTAAGGGGCTGTGCAAGGTAAAAAGAAAGAAGAAGAAATAAAATGATAAGATAGGAATCTTTCAATATAAATATCAAAAAACTGGTTAGTGATGAAATGGATTAGGCTGCCATGTTGTTTTTTCTTTATTTATGTTTTTGTTTATTTTGTTTTATTATTTTGGAGCCAGAATGGCTCATATTTGGGAAATTTGCTGGCGTGCTAACTTACCAGCTAAGAATTACTGGCAAAACAGATCATCTATCAGATAAAAATGATTTTTAATTTGGATAAATTTTAAATGTTAGCCAATGGGGATTGACTTCCTTTTGAGCCAGCTGTTTGAGGAACTGCAGTTTTTTGGCACTTTGCCTTCCAAGGTTGCCACTTGATGGGGTCATTTTTTAATGACCATGAGTGGAGAGTTTCATAATTACAAGCATTGTCTTGAGGAGATGTAATCAGTTCCAGTGGCTATGATGGAGACAAAATATGATGGAGACAAAATATGATGCAGCCATTGTGGGAATACTAGACACCCACCAGTTTTAATTTAGGCAAGGTTCAAAAAAACTGTTTGGGGATCAAAATAACTTTAATCTTTGACAGCCAAATTCTTATCATTTTATGCTTGAGTGGAAAGTGAACATGCCGATGTAAAGTTCCCACTTGGCTTTCCTGAATTATCATATGCAGGAACAGACAAAAACTGAAAACATAATGCCTCCAGGCATGGCTGCTGCTGGCATAAAGGCATAAAAATACAAATATCAAACAAAAATGCGTAAAAAACAAACCACTGGGACAGCAATTGATATCAACACACAGTGATTGGAGAAAAATTGAGGTGAAGCAATTTCTATGAATGAACATAAGTGATACACACATCATACCTACAGATGTGGGATGTCTTGATTATGACAGATGTTTTGCAACATAAAAATATTCCATTGCAAGCGACATTCTGTGAAGTCTGTAAAATAATGTATTATTACTGTTACTAAATTAACATAAATGCAGCATTTTTCTGCTCTAGCTGGTTGAAGTAAAGCTACTTTTACTATTTTATACAGGTTTGCTTTTATATGTTCAGTGGAAATGCTGATTCACAAGAGTCCATCTTTTAATGTTAGTTCACCATATACTTTGCA